GGGCCTCGTTTGTCGGCCGATGTAGGCATAACAATACCCGGGTCGATACTATTGAAGCCTTTCAGGTTGTCTGCCGGACATCAGGTGACTTTTCCAAGGGCCTACGCCAACGGGTGCTTAAAACAGCCGAAACACTGATTCTACGGCTAGCGAATCCAGTGCTGTGTTGTCAGAAGACGCTAAGACAAGCACTTTCACTTCCGTAGCTGACCCAGACGCGAGGTGGCGATCACACATCGTCCCCACGCCCTAGTGACAGTCGTTTGCTTCGTGCAAATGACAGTAATTATCCCTTCATGTACCTGACCCCTGTCCAACCCCTGTCCACGCCCGTCCCACCTCCCCCTGCACAAGGGCCTGTACACACCGATTTCGCCATGCGGGCGGCGTGAAAACAATGAGTTGTAATTAAAGTCCACTCATTAACCCTGTCCAACTGTACAATTTTCATTATCCCTGCAAATGTACTCGCCTGATGAAGAACTGCTGAAAACACGTGTTTGCCAAATCGACTTTTCAAATAAAATACGGGAACTTAAACAGCTTCAATTGTATTTGGCACGTGCACGTAGACTGTTCAGCATCGTCAGCCACTGTGTCCGATTCAACTTCCGGTCTTCTTGACTCCCTGTAGACCACAAAGGGGAGACTTTAGCAAAGGATGCGCATGTCTTATAGTTCCGTATGCTAATTCACGCCCAAGCCGTCTTACGTACGCTCACTTTCACAGAGAAGTGCACGTGGACATCGACGATTGGTCTGTCGATCCTGTAGTACTTACTTAGGAGTTTATACTGATTAGGACTAACCTCGCCCATAAGGGAGGCTCAAGAGGATTAATTGTCAGCTTTAAATTCATTCGGTATTTTGTCAATCAATAAGGATAACTTCTGAATACCGGGGACTGAACCACATGCAATATAAGTGTAGCAAAAATGAAAGGTACTCATTATTGAGACTGCAATCCACTTAAAAAAGCAACAGAATTCAACAACAGAGTTGACACATTTCATACTCAGAATACAGATTCAAGTAACCAAACGGATGTGCACATGAAACATTCATGAGTTATTAAGGCCCACGTCTTATGATCTGGAGCGGAACAGAAAGGCCACCAGCCGCTTTTAAAATACTTTTTTGTCTTCAGAATTATTGCTGTTTACACTAAGACATGTGAAAAGGCAATTCACACATCGTGCATGCTTTAGATAATACACAGAGTTATCTTGTCTACAAAAAGAGGTTGGACATCTAATTAGCAGGCTACATTTATATCTAGAGTTCGAGACTTCACCATATTTACGGACAGCAAGTCGTTGACTTCTGGTCTTCGATCCCACTCTAACAAGTACAAGTCGAGAATGAGCGTCCACCTGGACTATTTCTCATAATGCACTACCGACAGCCGCCACATTGGTGGGACGAAGAGTGAAGTGGCCGGCATGCTGTCTGGACCTTCTTCCCTGGACCTTCTTCGACCTTGGTGCTAAGGCAACCGAACAAACACAAGTTAGTTGTCCTGGCGGCGAATCCGGTAGCGGTTCCCGGTTTACAGATATTCCACTCACAAACCGGTATGGCACCACCCTCTGTGATATCTTTACTTCTTTTTATCACCTCCTTCGTGCCCGCCTTGATGCGTCGAGCTTTGTTTCGCGCTCTTCATGGACTCACCCAACCTGGAATGAGAGCCTCACAAAAGCAGCCCGCAGAAAGAGTCGTGTGGTCTGGCATGGACAAGGACATCTAAGTTGGGGCGAAATCATGTCCGAATTGCGAGCGAAGCAAGGTTCAGCGCCATAGCAAGTCTGCACCCGGCAATTTCCCCAGCCCAGACGATCGCCTCAGCCGTGTGCATCTCGATGTCGTGGGCCCTTTGCCTCCCTCCAATGGGTTTACTTATCTTCTTGCCTGTGTCTACAGTTACACCCGCTGGGCAGAAGCTATCCTATTACCGAACATGGAGGCATACGCTACAGTTAAGACTATTGTCAATCGTTGAATTAACTTCTTCGGTGCCACATCTACGATAAGGACCGACCGAGGTGCCCATTTTGAATCTGCACTCTTCCAAACCCTCATCAGCTTTCTCGACTGCACGCGAATTCGAACGACAGCCTACCAACCGGCTGCCAACGGCATGGCTGAACGCTTCACCCACTAGCTCAAGACTGTCTTGTGTGCCAATACAAGCGAACATCCGTGTCCCAGGAAGCAATTGAGAAGAAGA